GTAGGGTATAGGGTAGAGTAGGGTTTGGGTTCGGTCGTTCGGTCGGTCGGGCGGTCGGTCGTGTTCGGTTTGTCCGTCGATCGGGCGGCCTGATTCGAACGGACTTCTTCGTGGTCGCTCGTCTCCTGTGCGTCACGTTTCTATGTACTACATGTTTGTGGCGTAGTATTTGTGCGCGTTGCCAAATTGCTGTGTGGTTCTTTGGAGAGGTCTTCATTGGGGTGTCGTGTTTGTTGAAAGTGCCGCCCTGCATGTTGCAGTCGGTTCACTTGGGATCGGGCGGATTTTGGGGGTTGTGTTCTTGCTCTAGGTGTTTTGATGGGTTCGTCTTTACCCGACCGACCGTATCCTGTTGGGTTGAATAAATTGGGTTGGGTCGGGTTGGATTGGTCCGTGTTGGCCGTCTGGGTTCGGTCTTGGGGGGGGGGCTGGTTTAGTTTGGTATGGTTGTGTTGTGTTGTGTTGGGATTGGGTTGGGGTTGGGTCGCCGCCGCCGAGGCTTAGCCGCCGTCTCTTCGTCGTTCGTCGCCGTTGGATTGGTTTGAGGGTTGGGTTTTGGGTAGGGTAGGGTAGGGTTGTGTCGGTCGGGCGGTCGGGTAGTGTACAACGAGCGGGCACTCAACCAGCAAATAAATCACAAAAAAACGAAAACAACTGAACAAAGCGTTTGTAGCGGGCAGCACGCAGGACCCTCTTGCTCAGTTCACCCGAACGGCCTTGCCCGCCCATGGTGAGACATACAGGCAACAGTCACGGCTGACTTGTGTCGGCCACACAAGGTGTAATCTGCCCGAACCAACCCGGTGTGGTGTGAGAAAGTGGTTCATACATTCCCTACCGCACGATGCTGGAGCCCCCCACGAGATTTGCACTGTAGGGAGCTGCAGCACTGCTGTATTTGGCTCGAGATGAGCATTTGAGACAGGGTCGAACAATGCGTGGGGTATGCGAATGGAAGGCCCACCCACACAAGGATATCGTCTGACAGGCAATCGTTGTACATTAAGAACGCAAAACGCTACATGACCCCCTATGGTGGTCATATGACAAGCCCAGTCCCGTAATGTCGACCAAGAAAGTGGCCATGAACAAGCCAGCAACCATTGCAACAACACTATTGGGGAAGAAAAAAATCGTACGAACGCACGCTAGCACGCGATTGACATTGGCTCCCCCCTCCGTCCGTCTCCTGGGGGGGCCGGGTGGTCTGTCCTACTACAAACCCCGAGCTACCTACTCACTTGACGTGAGACACTTACTTGTTTTTCCAAGAAGGAAAGGCTCCCCTTGTCACTAGGGTGAGCGAGTCACGACCACCCCCCGCCGCAAATGTACCCTCTCCACTGACTTTGGCCACACGCAGTTTTTCACGAAGATGTCATCTTCAGACATCCCCTCAAACCGCAGGTCGACTATAGCTGAAGTCCACGTAATTCGGGCTAGGTCCTCCCTGTAGCTCGCCCCAAATGACATATCCTTGAGGGTTCGAGGCCATAACTGTCGACCAAAAATGGGCTGGGCGTACTTTCGTCCGAAGACAAGCGATTGCAGCCGAGGTGGCAACTGCGCACGGCGAAACTTTCCATTAAACTCGCCCCCAAGCACCAACTTCTGCAGGCTCTGCGGCAAAGTTACACGTTGGAATCCTGGGCCCACTCCCCCCCCTACCTCGAGCTCGAGCAGTGTGGGCGGCCACTGCGTGCGAGAAAGCGACTCACACTCGGCAAAACGATCTCCGAACTTAATTACCTCCAAGGAGCGGGGCCATTCCACAGCATGTACTTTCTGGTTGAATGCCAACTTGAACGAGATAACTCTGATGGCATACGATTTCCATCGAACGTTGTTCAAGGGTCGGTTGAAAGACTCTCTAAACACGACAACCTCGAGCCCGTGAGGGAGGCTCACTCCCCCATACTCTGGTTCCACCCCCCCCCGAGATCGAGACGTTGAAGCCGAGGAGGCAACACTGCGTCGTCCAGGCTCTGCCGGAACCCTGCACCGGTCTCTAGACTGATCAATCCCTCAGGCCAATCATTGGCGGTCGACATCAACGGCTGGTTAAACCTCATCCCAAACGTCAACTGTTGCAATGATTTTGGCCAAGTCACCCCCGCGATAGGCCTGTTGAACCATCCTCCAAGAAATACGTACTTCACGCAGCCGGGCAGGTCAAGCTGTTCAATGTGTTGGTTGAATTGTCCTTCTACCATGAGTTCCACCAAATATGAAGGCCAGCGGACCCTGCCAATTGGCCGGTCGAAACTCCCATTCGGGCCGCCTCCCAATGACATCTTCTTCACTGTTTCCGGGAACTGTACGCCCTCAATCGACATGTCAAAGGACCCGTGAAAATTGAGGACAACCAAACGGTGGGGCAACTTAAGCCCGTCCAAACCCTCTCCAACAGAGGCAAGAATGTTGGCCTCGATTGACAACCATTTGACGCCGCGCATGTTTTCTTGTAAATCGTCAAAGTCGCACGTCATGGCATCGTATGCTCTCCACACCATCCTGAGCGCTGACGCGGCAGGGAGTTCACGCACTCTTGCCTCTATTTCGGCTGAGTCTACAGAGTATCTGCCCTGGTATTCATGTCCGAAAACCGTAGTCCGGTGCAGTGCATCCACCGAGGTGTTGTCGTTTACGACTACATTCGCAACAGGCGCGCCTCTGGCAACATGGCTGATGGTTGTGGACACGAGGTCTAGCTGCCCGGTCGAGGTGAACCACGATGTTTCTTCCTCGTCGATTTGTAGGAGGGCGACGTGCAGGGCGCGCGCCATGAGACCTTCGCGGATAGCTTCAGGTGTAGGACGACCTGAGCGTGCATCGGGCATGCAGGGTACAAGAGAGCGACATGGTACGCTTAGGGTTACGACTTTAATGGTGAAACTACATTGTGACGGTCAATGTTTAGCACACCTGCTTGAACGGCACGGCCAGCGTTCACGTGGTGTTTATGCACGGCCCGGGAGAGAGGGTCAAAAGTAAACTCTGCAGGCGACATACGCACACAGGCTCGGACGCCTATTTTATCGCGGAGCTTCGACAAGGCGGCAGGCATATAATATTTGCGGACGCTTTAGCTGCCAAACAATGAGTTCCAGGAAGAAACGGAGTTAGGCGGGTGTGCGTTGGGCAGGGGTTACCCTAATCTGAATCAGGACAGGGGTATGCGTGAGGGTTTCTTTGAGAAGTTGTAAGCCTGAATGGTTCCACCAACGTTGATAGCATACCTGAGACACACACGTGGTAGGAAAGTAGAAAGCGTACAAGCTCGTGTCGAGCATTCTTTGGGCATAGAAATTGAAAACGTTCGCCGATAGCATGTTGAGGAAAGGCTGGGCTGTCTGACGTAGGGTTAGGTGCCTGCATGCTGCATTTTCTTCCCGGCGAACTCATGCTCATGGATCCCCTATACAAAAAAATAACTCATGCCTCTCATCCAGTAACACACGCACCTCGACCTGTTTTGAGGCCCTCATGAAGAACATACAAGGCAAGCCTCCCATGTTAAAACAAGTACCTGCTCAACAATGAAACATTTCCATCCACGAGAATGAACACCATCATTACTAAACAACACTAATGTCTTACCTGTAGGCCGAGAGTCAGGACCAGAGTCTGGACCCGAGTCAGCATCCGAGGCAGTAACCGAGTCAGGAACCGAGGCAGGGTCCGATTCAGGACCGGGAACATCCACAGGCCATGAACGGCATGTCAGTTGCCGGGGGTCGAACACGTCCTCCCCTGGCCAGTCCATGTTCGCCTTTTTCAGCGCGCGAGAGATGAGCTCCCCGGGATAGCCCCTGTTAACGCCATGGAAAGGTTCCTCAATCCGTTAGTCAAGTGTTTGTTGCCACGGTTAAGGAAGTGGATGGAAACACATTAGAGGTGACGCGGGGCAGATGGACAAGCCTCGCCTTGGCCTGGTATTGTAGAGGTAGCGGCCGCGAAGAACGCGCTCGCAGCTCAAGTGTCCACGCAGGGGTCCTAACCAAACCGCTTGACGCGCGCATATATCCTGCCTGCTGTTACAGTAGTAATCGGAGAGGATGATGAGGAAAATGCCTCACCATGTTTTCCTGACATCCACGGAGCCGCTGACGTTGGACGCCCCGTCGAAAATTCGTGCCATCCAGTAATTCGCCACGTGAGAAGCACGGAACTCCATCTGGCCCTCAGTTTCGCCAATGCCGTATTCGGCGAGAAGTTCTTCCAATATCCCTTCCGCCTGTTACGAGTGAAGGCGAGCCCCCCCCCCGGAGAGTAGGATGGGAAAAATTGGTTAGGGATCGTCATCAGTCTCAATATGGGATCCAATACCTAAGGTCGGGGAAGAGACACAGGCAATCTGGAATAGAAGAGGAGAGGTGACAAGGACCAGGGGATGCAGGTACAAATTTAGGACTGGGGTCGTTGTCCTTCGGGCACATAGTCGAGGATATATTGAAAAGTAGATGGTGAAGGCGACAGCTTCACACGTGGGTGCGGCAACTAGTTAAAAGACCGTGTTCGTGGACTCGAGGAATGCTGTTGTACAAGACGGAGAGCTAGTACGTAGGGGGGGGTAATGGTCCGCAGGTGACGACTTAAAATCTTGCAGTAGTCTACGCACGATGCCTTGAAAGGAACGAGACACGCCTTCCAGGCGGCAACGCAACAACCCAGACTGCGTTCATTGACTTTGGGAGGGGAACTATTTTCTGACGGCTACCGACCATGCACCCGCTCCCGCTGGCAGTGTGCTGTTGCACATGAACGGCGTGGGAACACGAACAACACCTACCTGCCCTTCTCTGCTGGAACGCTGCAAAAGCAGCATTACCTTGCAGTACCGCCAAACGATCGGCACCTCACATGGCTGACACAGACATAAATAAATGCACAGCAGTGAGTGGTGGTAGCTTTCACGAAAGCACCTGTAGTGCAGGTGCTGCAGGTGCTGTAATGGCAATGGGTAATCTAGGACCTTTATGGTGGCAGTGCGTGCAGGCATGCATGCGCTGGCACCGGTTTGTTGCGCAATGAATCCTGGTTTTATTAGGAGTTTTGGTTTTTGGCACTTGTTGACACGGCAGCTATAGATTTGATTCCAGGTGACCCCTGCCCAGGCACAGAAGCATCAGAAAAAACAAAGGGATCCGCGACGAGCTGTGTTCATGCTTCGTTTTGGATGGTGAGATTAACACCGACCCGGGGGCTGTAGTACGCTCAGTAAAGCGGGAGCAAAAGTCCTGCATCTATCTGTTGTGCCCCAGTCTCCTATTTTTCTTGTTTGCGGTTCCTTTGCACCAGCAGTAGAAGCACAGACCAATACCGATGCTGATAATATCCCTTCCAACAGCAACGACGATGTCATCCGTAACAATCTGTGTGTTTGTCTTCCTTCCCTGTCTGGTGCTGTCTTGCCCCTCGAAGCAATAATTGCTGCGTGTTTACCTGAGTGCTTCCTCCGTTTCTCCTGGCTCGAACCGAACAACAGCTTTTTGTTGCGCGTGTGCCTGGTGTTGCTGTTTCGTCTGTGTGCGTGTCCGTGTATCTCTCGAACGACTCCCAGGAACGACGGCAAAAACTATCCGGATAAATGTCTGTCAAGCACGCGGCCATCTATTGTCGGAGCGCGTGAGGTCGTCTCTGATTTCTTCGTGCGAACAAAAATAAAAACAATTACCGTGGTCTCCCACAAGCATATCTAGTAAACTACCAACAGCGGCTGGCACTGCTGGATTCGTGCATGGATGGATACCGCTGCTCTATGGTGAGCAATACCATGTCAACCCTGTTGTGTGCCGAGCAAAATGTGTATTCAGCGAAGGAAACGTACTCCTCTTCGCGATGACACCACGATTAGAACAAGCGAATATTAATCGGATCTTCTTTTCACCGTTCCGTGAAAAAAAACGGTTTTTTTTCGTTGCGTTAACAATACCACCCTACCTATTGTTAACGGTTAACGGTGAAAAGAAGATTTATTATTCCTTAATCCGATTATTTTTCGCTTGTTCTAATCGTGATGTCATCGCGAAAAGTTCGTTTCCTTCCCTGAATACAAGTTTTTCTCGGCACACAACAGGTTGACATGGTATTGCTCACCATAGAGCAGCGGTGAAAGCGCAATAAACAGCACCCGACACAGAGGACAACACACTTTGAAAGATCCCGTCCACCTGGCCTGCTGTTTCCTGCTGTTTTCAGTTTTCAGCAACAGCAGGCGCAGGGCAGAGTGTCGCCACCTGGGTGTTGCTTGCGATTTCTCCAGTTTGCCAGCTCATTGTTCACGGTTGCAACTCCCATCTTTGACCACCACCTGACCATGACTGACCATGGTTAACCATGGTCAACCATGGTGGTTGACCATGGCTGACCGTGGTCGACCATGGTCAGCCATGGGTAACCATGGTGGTTAACCATGGTTAACCATGGTCAGCCATGGTCCACCATCGTTGGTTAACCATGGCTGACCATGGCTAACCATGGACATTGTGCATGGTCAGCCATGGCTGACCATAGTTCATGGTCAACCATGGTTTTCCATCAACCATGACTGACCATGGTCAGCCATGGTCAGCCGTGGTTAAGCATGGTTGACCATGGTTGACCATGGTTGACCACCATGGTTAACCATGGTGAATGTGACCATGGTTGACCATGGTTAACTATGGTGGTTAACCATGGTTAACCATGGCGAAAGTGCCGATGATGTACATGACTGAAAATAGGGGTAGCAAGTGGTTCTCATGAGAAACTGCCTTACTCGGTATTACGGCCAACAACCGTATATTTCTATTCCAAGGTGCACATCAATTTCCCGAGGAAAAAAAAAGAAAAGGGTGGTGGGAAGAAAACGATGGCGCAGAGAAGAATCGAATCCACTCCTGTCTCACAGCAGTTGGTTGCTCAAGATATCACGCCCCCTGGACCAATTTCCAAACCCTGTTTACTCCCCAGCAGAAGAGGTGGCGGTGCCGGAAATGGTGGCATTGGAACTGCCCAGTCTAAAACTTTCCGAAAATGTATCGTTTGACTTTGGCATATCATCGTCTTTGTCGCGGTAAATAGAGGTGCGAAATTCGGTTAAGGTGGGTGTGGTATCTTGTGCAACCTATGGTAGTCAATTCTTGCTTTCAAAACGAACGCATGTTTACAATATTGCGACGTGTGGACGACCCTGTGTCAATCGGACAATTTGTCAAAAAACAGTTAAGGGCAGGGCGTCGGCTGATGATGCCTCTGGACGGTTCACGCGGTCTATGCTAGGCATGTGTGTGGACACGTCACAGCCGACATGCGCGTTGTCACAAAATACTGATATCTAATATTACAAGCACAACCCCCGCAAAAAAACGTTGAAGAATGACGAAGTGCCTACAGCAGCAGCATGTACATCCCCCGCCCTAAACAATGTCTAATGAGGCTGGGCGCTGATTGACGCCTTCGGGATAATTCCCCGTTGTACATGATGAAGAAAAGCTGCATGCGCGCAGTAGGCCCAGAGCCATTGGGTGTGCAGGACCAACTGCTGGTGTCTGAGCACATGTAACAACACTACATGCTGAGTTCGCGCCTCCCGCAGGGGACACAGGGGGATCCACAACACACAACTTTCCCTTCATTCACCCTTCTTTGCTACCATCCAGGTAAAACTGCAGGGGATAGCTTACCTAAGCACAAACTGCTGCCGGCATGTCGCTCTCTCTTGTCCGCGAGCGCCGTTGGTTGTAGAAGCTCGTCTTGCCGCTCTTAGCAGCACAAGTGCGGCGGGTTAGCCGCGGCGGCTGCCGTGCCCCAAGTCGGAGCATCTAGAGATAGTAGCCTGTTGCCTTGGGCACGAAAGGAATGCCATCAGTCTAATCGCTATTCGTCTTGGCACGCTGCGGCCTCTGGTCGCCTGTGTCAAGGCTGGTCATGTGGAAACGAGGGCACGCAGGCCACAACGCAACACACCACCACACACAAAGCAAACCCACCAACAGGGGGCTCGCTGGTTCGAATGCACACACCCCACTCTAGCTTTCCATCTGTCTGGCGGGATCGGTTGCCAACTGCTTCCCAACCCGTATCTTCGGTGCTTTCACCACCAGGAGGTCTGGCCTAAGGTTGTAGCTGCTTCCCAACCTATTGGGTCTGTGTTTGTACAACCAGGAGGGCTGACCAAGGTTGTGACAGCCCTCCCAACCTTCCGCACCCAGCCTTGTACAACCAGGAGGGCTGGCCAAGGTTGTGCTGCCTCGCAACCCCCCTCGACAACCTGCCCGACATTGGGGGTGCTCCCAACCTACCCCCAAATGTGTACTTTGGCCACCTGTGTATTCCGGTAATACTCCTCAAGTGCATACCTACGTGCTGTGTTACAGCAGTACCAATACTTATGCCTGACATTGAGTATTCCAAAAGTAAATACTATTGCGGTGGAGCGAGCGAGGCCGACCCACACACCAGCCTCTGCTGGGGGCGTCAGCAGGGGAGGGGAAGACGTTACGGCGGCATACCCGAGGGCACGCGGGCTTGCGATGAGCTCTTGCGCAGCAGCCTCTGCAAGCGTGGGGCACTTCCCACAATGCGCGCGGCACCATAACAACGCAATCAGTGTGAGGGGCGGCACTGTCGCCGGCGTCGTGAAAGCAATGGGTACGTAAAATATGGTGAGGGCGACGTCGTCGGCGGACTACCGCAAGCCCGATCGCGTAGCGCGAAAAACACCCCGTGATAGGACTCAAGAATAACAAACGTAGAGCCTACAGGTGACTGCTGTTTGGGTCCATAAACCTTTTTGGCGGGTTGTGGAGATGCATGATGTTGATCGCACGTGCAAAGGTTGGAAGTTGAAAACGCTGGGCGTCCGCCGAAATGATTAATTTTTCCAAAACTTTTTTGTGCTCGGCCGGAAATACGCCCCACACGGCTCGACGCTCGACACCACCTGTGGAGCGCACAGAGTGCGCCGGTGGACAGATTTCCTCCGGCTTGGCCGTCGGGTAAAAGTCGGGTGGAGGGGCAATAAGATACTATAGATAGGGCCCCCCTTCTATGCGCGTAAAAAAGTGTTCGGTCTGTTCGAAACATTTTGCCCGGAAAA